ATCCATATACTAGCTCTCCCACAACTACTTTTTACCGTCGTCTTAGGTAGGTTCGATTATTTTGTTCCTCTTATTAAAATTAGCAAAAGTATTGATAGGATATAAAGTTGGTCTCCAGATGGTTCTCATGTCGCAACAGCAAATGGTGCGCAAGGCGCGGTACCCATTGCTGCTATATTTAATCGAGGCGAATGGCGTACTGATATATCTTTGGTGGGACATGATTCTGCAATCGAAGTCGTGGTTAGTATTAACTTTTGCTTTACTTGCAAATAGGCCAATGACTGAAGTCTTAGTGTACTCACAAAACATTAAATTATACTTAGGCGTTTAATCCAGTTCTTTTTATGATACCTGACAGTGATGACGCTGACCCCAATTCCGAAACCATGGGTAGTGTATGTGCTGTTGGAAGTCAAGACCATAGTATTTCTGTATGGGTAACGAGAAATGCTCGTCCACTCTTTGTTTGCCAAAAACCTTTTGACCATAGCGTATTGGATTTAGCATGGTAACTATATGAATATTAATAGTTTTATAAAGGTATTGCTTTTAATTCACTCTGTAAATTACATGTAAATTATATTATTACCTTTTTTTTATAAAAGGTCACCTGATGGCACACAGCTTTATGCGTGTTCTTATGATGGTACTGTGGTCGTCTTACAATTCCTTAATAAAGAATTTGGCACTCGAGTGTCTGAGGAAGAACATGTGAGTGATTTAATTAAATTTCAATTAAATTTTTGATTGCAATTAAATATTTTGTTAAACAAAATTTTTTTATACAGGAGAAACTCCTTACAAAATATGGATTCACAGCGAAAGAACCGATCGTTCTCGAAAGCACTACTCAACTTAATTTAGAAAGTGAATATGCGATTGCAAAACGTAAAGAGAAATCGGATCATATGGCTAATATGATGGAGCCTATGGGATCTACAACCGTTGATATGGACATTAGTACTTCTGAACCAAACAATAATTTAACCATTGATTCAAAAACTACTGATTTTGGACCTTCAAGTGTTCCGTCACAGCCATTACCCTCGGTAGAAACGCAACAACCAATTAATAATGAAATATCTACAAACATCAATGGGGCATCGACTTCAACATCTAACACAATTACAAGTATAGCTATACATCAACAAACCGTTACTATGACAAAAGACGGTAAAAGGAGGATTCAACCTCAATTTTTGAGAAGGTAAAAATTTATTTAACACTACATTTCTTTACATTTAAATTACACTTATTAAATCCAAATACATTTAGCAGCCTTACATCATCTACTACGAATATACCTTCAACTTCTGAACAAATTGTTGTTGTAAATAACTTTAAATTTACCTTTGCTTTTTATTATCATAATTATCATAATTATCAAAGTTTCATTTGTAAATTATAATTTACCTTCTTACTCCACCAGGAATCATCCACGTCAAACAATGGTCTTACAAGTGCTTCCATGCCTTTACATAATAATCAAAAATTGACAACTGAAGACATATTAGGTAGCGAAATGGATGCTCCTTCTCGCGCTTTGCCACCTGGTGGAATTCCTACCTTGGTTATTGGGAATAAACGAAGTGCACCATCAGATACAACTACTCAATCTAGCAAGCGACAAAACATATCTGGCAAGATGCAATCAGAAGTTGAAGCTCAACCAAGTATTTTAAGATCATCTCTAGTCTCCCCATCCGTTGCAATGTCACAAGTAAGATTAGCTACTCATAAAGTTTTGAGTTACCTTGCTAAGGATCGTCTCGATGGTGCATCATTAAAATTAGAATGCTACAATTTTAATGAAAATAGTATGAATTTTGATATATAATAAGTCTATATTTTAGATCAATTTTTGGAAATTAAAAAAAAAATTTTTTTATCTTTGTTTTAGCACCATCTCAAATAATGTGTACTCGTGGTAAAACCACTGTATGGATTGATTATGTCCCGAGTGGGGTGATACTTATTACCGGCCATTCTCAATATTCCGCTGTTGCTTGTGAAGATGGTAGTATATATATATACACTGCTGCAGGTCGACGGTTAGTGAATTGCTTATTTTAA